GCAACAGTTGAAATGGAAACTGGAGACAGCAACACACTGACTAGGTCTACACTCGGTTCATGTGGTGTGGTTGGATTTTGGGGCTCCTTTGCAAGTGTTGTATAGCTACAGGAGGTGCTTCAAGGTGGAGTTAACTCTAGGATCTAGGTAGATGTGTGGAATATATTAAGGAGGGAGGACATGGACTAGAAATCAATGACAATATGTATTAAACTATTTTTTAAGTTTGGGGCTGCTTTTCCTTATTTTGCACCCAGATCTTGGACCGTACTGACTATAAGAAATCCCATCATCCTTATTTTCCTTCACACCTTTAGTCCTTGGTGGAGAAAGGGATGTACTGTGATCCTATCGTAAGTATTTTTTGTAGGTTGCTGCTAGATTCACAGTTGAGATGTTATTGTGGAGAAAAGCCACTGTGGCAGTTTTTAGAGCTTTTGAGGACTGTCAGGAACTCCAAGGTCTCATAGGTCATATGTAACAAGCAGTCCTGAAAGCCACAATATGAATAATTATCGGGGAAAAAAAAAAAAAGAGACAAAAAAAAAAAAAGACAACATTTTAACTTATGGGCCTGCAAAACTACATTATGAACCAGCAAATATTGTGGGTCAAATCTACATATGAGGGAAACTGATGTACTTTGGCAGAAAACACGTGTTGACCCTTACTATTCAGTCCTCTGGGGTGAATTCAGTAACTTCAGTCTGGAGAACCTTTCTAGGCAGCAGGTAAATCTGTGCATGGAGGAAACTTTTGCGTTTTGCTCCTGTCTTTCTTTCTGCTAACCCTGATGGGCACTGTGAAATTTTGCTGTACCCTCTGTTGAGGTCAGCTACTAAAGAACAAAGACTTGCACTAATTATTAAACCATCTAATGTGTATTTTAATTTGTAAAATATGTGAATGTCTGGACTATCAATTCAGAGCTGGCTGTTTCGTTTCTATTGCCCAGGGATGGTGCTGACTGCAACAAGATGCTGCTGGAAAGCGTGTTGCAAGGTGGAAGCTGTAGGTTATATGGACACAATATCTATCGGGAATAATGGTAGGATTGGGCTCACCGTTTTGAAATCTCCATTCTGTTCTGTTCAAATCAGAGAATTAGAAATGGTTTACAGGAGCTAGAGCTGTAAACAAATCATCGCTGTCTGGCATTAAAAAGAAAGATGGGATATAAAAAAGGTGTGTCAGTGATGGGGGTAAGTTTGAATACTGTTTATAAACCCACAGTGAAACAAGTGATGAGATTAGCTTTGCTGAGTAAGACCAACAGGCTCTTATCATCTGTCTTGTTTTTGTATGTCAAGTAAAATAATAGGCTTTTGTGTAAGCACAATATAATTTTCTCTGCTTAGGACAAAGGCAGGATGTAGATGGACTGAAAAGGAGATAGGCTATAATAATATTTAGAAATCAGCTGCTGAGAGAGTAGAAAAGCTAACAGAGAACATGATATTCGTATAATAATCACAGCTCAGAACAGTCTGGCAGAAAAGGCCACTGTAGGCTTGTAGGGATTTGGGTGCCAGAATTTCCCCCCTGCTTTTGCCTTTCCAAGTCTTCCCCTTCTCCCATGGACAGCTCAGGCAAAAACACTGCAAGGGCATACCAACTAGAACTACTGTGATTTTCCACCATCTTTTCTGTTTAGTCACTGTTTGTGCTGTTTTGAGCCCATCAGTTCTTGGAAGTCAAGGTCAGAGGAAAATGAAGCCAAATTCACTGAAGCTGCCTCTTGAAGGTACACATCCAGACTGCGAGGATGCTGCTTCGTTGCACTAGCAGCTGCTGCTCAGCTTATATGTCTTTGAGAATCTGGTGGCCAAACAGAGTGGGGGAAAATAGCCAAGCTGCTTAAGGAAAGGCATCTCAGCCCGACTGTTCCTCTTGAGCAGCTTTGAACATATATGCCACCAAACTCTGGTAAGAGAGCAGGTAATTATAATGAAGTTGTATGCCTTCCTCAGTAGGAAAGGTTTATCTGGACTGTTATACCATGTTGCCAGTCATAAGTGCCATTATCACACATACCCATCAGCTAAATTCAGGCTAGACTTGGATCAGTGAAAGTGGGTGGATATACAAATCTGCTCACCGTGGATCCAGCGCAGACCCTTTGGTAGTAGATACTCAGTGCTAAACTTGCCATTGGCAGGATAAAAGAAAAGCTGGACAGTGCTGGAAGCACCACTGAGAGACAGCGATGCCTTTGTGCTAGGTCTTTGCTGCTTACGATCATCACTAAGACTTAAATGGGTCTCAGGGTGACCCATCAGTTACTATTCCAGAAGAAAAGCTGGTGGAAGGTTTGACTAAGGGCTTGAATTCAAGCGCCAAGCGCATTTTGTCTTTTAGGATTTTTAGCTGATCTTTCAGCATTAGTTCAGTATTGAGGTTCTTCACGTTGCAGAATGCTTTGAAGGTTGCTGTTTTGTTTCAAAGTAATTTTCAGGGAGGATTTGTTTGATGCAGAGGAAGGACACAGAGACCATTATCTTCAGCCTGTAACATTTCCTGTTTCTCTGCTTTACATCAGTGTCTGTCAGATACTAGTAGGGATTTAGGGACTTGTTGCCAGATTTGTAAAAACTCTGGACCACTTTACATGAGATACTGTGTAGGCTTTACAAGCCTGGAAAGCAGAGTCTTTCAGAAAGGCAATGTAACTGAAAGAGCACCAGGAAAAAAAAAAAAAAAAAAAAAAAAAAAAAAAAAAAAAAAAAAAAAAAAAAAAAGACCAGAAAAAACCTAACATGTCTGTGCTTGGATCCCATACTGTGAATTTAACAGCAACTTTTGTCTGTTCCTCACTCTCTATTTCAAGTCTAAGAAAAGTCTGATCAAGTCAATAGTGATAATTTTTCCTCTTGTAGAGGCATAAAGTAATGGCAAGCCCTCAATAGTCAGTGTGCCAGGTTCTCGGTTCTGGTCAAGGTATGCAAGACTGTAGGAGAAGCAACAAATGGGACAGGTTCAGTGAATGCAAGGAGCTGAAAATTAACTCCTCTGCTGCAAACCAAATGCCAGTAGCATCTGTTTTGTTCGGTAGGGCATACGTGAGATGGACCCTATGGCCCTGAGCCGGGTCGTGACAGCACAGCTGCTTTTCTCTAGTCTGGGGCAGTAGTGGTGATAAAAGACTAATAGAGATGGATGAAACTAATTAAATGGTGTGAGAGATGGGATGAGATGAAATGAAAATGAAATAAGAAACGAAGAGGAATGGCAGGTGGGAGGAAGAAATTGCATATTCCCCTGAGTAATATTTTAGGTTATGGGTAGTTTGCTTCAAATCTAGGTGTGCCTCTAGCCCTCATTTCTAACGGAATCAAGGACAGCTGTCTGACAAAAAAAACAGATGAGAAATAATGGGAAGTGGGTCAGTAACCTGATGCTCAAACATGTATATTTTTTCTGGTCATGCACATTTGACCATATTGCTATGTGGTGGGAAAACAAAAATAATCCAACAATGAGTGTTGGATGAAAAGATGTCATACCCAGGCCCATCATGTGGGAGAGATCTCTGTATGTTTCTGAGCTGCACTCAGAAATTAGAGGTTCCTGTCAAACCGTGGCAAAAGGTTTTAGCAAAGATCTGCCAAGTGTGCCCAGAAATTAGTATTTTTAAGCAAAAGTGTTTGGTTTTGTTGGTTTTTTTTTTGTTTTTTTTTTTTTCTTCCCATGACTTAGTTACCCTGGGTAGTAGGCTCTCCCCTGGCAATGGTGCTCATGATTTTCAGTTGAGAACAAATTATTTGTGCTTCTTGGCTGGTTCAGACACTTTCTGGTGTGGGGGAATGTGTGCTTTCTCTGCTCAAAGTCAACTTCTACATGAAAATCATTCTATCTATCAGATGGCATCTCTGAGAAATCGTGACCTCCAAAAGAAGGACTTTTTGCTACATGTTTCTCAGCCCATCAGGGTTAAGCACAGTTATTTCTGTGGCTTTTTCCATCTCCGCTCTGATCTGAAAGGCTTGAAGCAGCTTCTGCTAAGGAGCCATGAAACTAAACTAGGTCAAGACTGTGTCACTGTGACCCTGTGATAGCAGATGTTGGAGTAGAGCTCTAGTGGTGGTCTTCCATGCATCAGTGGTTTGAAAATACCAGCTGAAGGGAGGTGACCAAGCTCTGAGCAGTTGGTGCTTGCAGACGATTGTCCACACTTGACTGCAGGCTCCCTAATTCTGCTCTCTGTGACCTGAGCTAAAGCCAGAACCTGCTGTCGGTGAACCTTCACTGATACGAACTGTAGATGAACCATCTGCAATGATGACCTAAAATCCAGGAGTCCTCAGTTCTACTGCTGGCTCTGCAGCACTTCTTTAGCATAACCTTGGACAGGTCTCAAGTCTTAATGAGCCGCGTTTCCTACCTGCAGAGCAGAGGATTCAGTTTCTTTTCCTTAGAGAAGCATAGTTTTATAAAGTATAAATATTTGTGAAGTTGAGTGTTTTGACTGTGTGAGCATTTCAGAGAATAAACCATAAATATGTGTCAGGCCTATGATCTGAATTCAAACCGGTGAACTAGAAAAAGTGTTGACAGCCTTAAACCAACTGCCCTGTACACACATCTCCTCCTGTCTACCTGAGAGATTATTTGTGGAATGTGTTTCTATTTTTCTCTGACAAAAAATAGAATAACCAGGCAAAGCAGCATGACCCATTTCTTTGTCAGGCAAGCTCTAAACCCTGCTTACTGGGATGTGACTGAGGTATTGATAAAAGAGAAGCTCATTTTAGGCCACAATATTCATCCTGCCCCTGAAGAAGAAACAAAGATTGCCACCTTCAGATGAAATGGATGTGCTTTCCAAGCCAAGGTATGTTCATCTCCTCTGCAACGTCTCTATGATCTGTAATTACACTTGGACCACACAATGAAACAGAAAAGTGGCAAATGAGGAGAGTTAGGAACAGAACTAATCATTTTATAACAGGAGAATATACAAGCAATACACCACTGAAAGTATCTGCAAACTCTGTCAATGGTCGATCAATAGAGCCGATGAGAGCATCACTCATCATGGACTGTATCACCTTCAGTAATTTTTCACAGTTCTTTCTCTGTGTAATGACAAGCTTGAGTACACATCATGGTGTTCGTAATTGTTGGCCACAGGGGTGGACTTCCTCTTCAAATTTAGCATGTAGCATATTCAAAGCAATATCAAGTCATACCACACTAAGCTCTTTATTACCAGAGATTTTTGGACAGAAGCACATAATCTAGATTTTCTGAATCAATAGGCAGATGGTAGCTACTTTTTTTTTCTCTTTTTTTTTTTTTTTTCCTAGTATTTTTTCCAACTTGTACATTTTAAATTTACATAACTTGGTTTCACACATCCGAGGAAGAAACACTGACATAAAGCTAATTTTATCTTCGATGCATTTACAAGTATTTCTCTTTTTTCCCTGACACGTCTCTGTCTAGACTTCTGCCAGAAAGCAGGAACTTTAATTTTCTCTTTTGCTGATGTAAATACCTTTTGACATTGTGCAGAGAACAGCACGACTCTCACTTTCTCATGAGGATGTTGGACCCATCCACTCCACCACTGAAACCCATTGGGTTTCCATCGGCCAAGGTAAGCAGCTCTGACACCTTCCCACTACACACCATGTTACTGTGCATATCACTGAAATACATCATCATTATGAGTCCAGGCTGGTTGAATTTTTTTATTATTTTTTTCAGTTTAGTTCACTGAAACAATGAAGGTTAGCTGCATCCGACTCTTCATCTGACTTCATGTTTTACTAGTCATTATTTTTGCAAAGGCCTTAATTCCCCTCTAAAACATTTTAATTAAACTAGCAATTTCTCAGTGCTGTACTTCGTGAGCAGGTTTTGCAGCAACTTCAAAGAGACACAGATGTTTACTGAATTTGGTGTGGTGATATTTGAGGCTGCCTACTGGCAAAGAAAAATTCATAAACATCTCTAGGAAACTTTGCTGTGGTAATGACAACATTTCCTTCTTATATTTTAGCAAGTCTAATACTTCCCAATCTCTACAGACATATTTCATAGACACAGGCATAAGCATTGTTATCTACTCACAGTCTGAGCCTTCCCATATACTCTGCTGTGGGGTAAATACCTCTCAGTGCTGATACCTTGAGCTTTGGCAAAAGGTACAAGAGGCCATGGGTTAGTTTGCTCTCTGTGTGTCATCTTACAGAGTATCAGTAAACTGGGAGTAAGGAAACCAAAGTTCAATTTCTGCTTGATTTTCCATAGCCATCCAGTGTGATTTTTGAGTGACCATTTAGTTTTGTGTGCCTCAGTTCCTACTGGTAAAGGGATGAAAACATATCCTGACTTTTAATCAACTTATCTCCTGGTGGCAGGGTCTATCTCCTAGTGTGCCAAGGGCTTCCTAGCTTTAGAGGGTCCTGGGGTTTTTAAAGCTCTGTTCTAGTAAAATTAAGAAATACTAACAATTTATTTTGGAGGAGTTTCTCCTTACTTGTGGCAGGTGAGCCTGGAGCTAGTCTGACGATCTCAATTTGGTACCATACCTGTCTGTGGGTAACCAGGCAGGCAGTGGTCCTCTCCAAATTGAGATGATGGGACTAGGGAACATAGCCATGGCAGATCGTATCTAAAATGTAGGCCAGGGTCCAGGTATCTTTTGTGGTTTAGACAGGTAGCTCTGGCCAGAAAATATATGGCCTGTCCAGCTGGATCACCAGTGAGGCTGATCTCCATGTGCTAGAACCTACAACCGGCGGTGAGGCTCGTGCTCCTGTTGAATCTTTCTGTGCAGGGAAGAAAACCAAGTTTCTTTCCCTGGACATTTTTCACTCTCATATCTTTTTGAAGGAGAAATAATAGAAGTACTTGGAAACAGCATGTGCATTTCCACTGTGAGCATCGCCAAGGACCAGCACAGAAAGCCAGCATGGAGTATGGCATGACACGTCATGTAGCTGCTTTAATATACAGTGTAATTACAGTGACATATTTCTGCCTCTTGAAGCATCAGGGACTGAAGTGATTGCCCTGAAGGAGTTAGAATGTTAGCGGGAGAATTTCGATCAACTCGAGGTTGGGAAGTGCAGCACTTCCTCTGCATTGGATTAAAAGTGATCAGCATGGCCAAAGGGGATCCTGTGAGAGACAGGTAAGCAAGCTGAAAGGAAATTAGAAATATTAAAGAAATGAAGCTGGACTGGATAGAACAAGTTTTACAATTCCCTATTCCTCTTTGATTTGATAGCATTAGGCGTACTGAAGGGTAGATTGCGCAGACTTAGGCATGACAGCAAGATACTTTTCCGCACGAATAAACCCCCTGAAATTAATTGGACTGCTCACAAAAGTGCCTGGGAATGTAAACTAGACTTGGGCATTTCAGCCCTCAGATCTGATATTTCTTCAGCAATGCAAGGGCCAGGCTGCATGGTGAACAGCAACAGCTTAGCTAGAAACGTGAATTCAAACCTCTGGCAGTGAGATCAATGTCTCTGTGGATGTATTCTTGGAGAAGAGTATCGCATTTCAGCTGAATTCACCTTCGTAAGACACAGATTAAAATTAAACCGAAACAAACTATTCCTGAAATGAAAGCAGGGCTCAGAGACAGTTTGCTTACCACAAACTGTTGTGCGTTTGCTGTACCATGGAATTGCTCACGTGTATGCTTTTAGCTGGTGACAAATGCACTCCGTGAGGATTAGCCTGGCCTGCAAAGAGGGAAGCTTAAATTTAGGTTGCTCTCCCACGTGTGCTGTGGGATAAGAACAGAGAGCCAGGCAATCCCTTGTGTGCAGGTATGCCTGAGCATTCAAGATGTCCACAGAGGCATTTGCTTAAGCCGAAATGCTTGTTCACCAATTGCAAATGGGCTCGTAAAAAACCAAACCTTATGTAACAGCCCTCTTGGATGTTGGTCTGGAAAGAAATAGCTTTGTTGTTGTTTCAAAGAATTAGTGAGCCAACAATGCAAAGCTTTGGAGTTGGTTACTGGGTTTTTACTGCAGTCTCTACGAACTATACAAAGTCTGAAGACATTGTACGTACAGTACATCTTTAATAAGAAGGGAGCTCACAGTCTACCAAACTCTGCCAAATAAACTTTTAATACATACTGTACTTCACTCAGTAGTTGTCCATCTCTTCTTCATGGAATATCTAACAGCTCTAAAAATATTTTCTTGGAAGAGAATAGAATTATCATCGTTATATATCAATCAAGTATGGTTAATGAAGCAAAGCCAGCATGCTAGTATTGCACAAGGGGAAAAGCCTCCAGAACACAAAGTGGAACAACAAATGCCCTCAAAATTCTGCCGAAGGGAACAGGAAGCTCCAGATGCCGCATCGGTAGGATTCGTGTAGCTCTTAGGCGTCCTTGTACCGCAGCAGGTTTGCTTTGCCTCTTCAGTACCGCAGCAGGTTTGCTTTGCCTCTTCACTGCCACATTTCTCTCTGAAACAGGTAGGGATCTTCCAGACCATTACAAAAAAAAAAAAAATTACAGCAGCTGCAGCAAAGTGTGGTACTATTCAATTTCTTGAAGAATGAGGCTTTTATTTCAAAATATCATATATTAATATATATATATTTCTATATATATACTTTAACTGGTATAAAGTAAATTGTAGATCCAAACTTAGACTGTTGTTTGTACTTCGCAATCTCGGAAACTTTACCAAAGGAACCATTTTCTTCATTTTTTTTTTTTTTTAATTTTCAGTTGTCAAAAATCAGGGGCATTATTTCCACTGAATACTTTTCTTTCACACAGTAAAGCCACTGTTGTTATCTGGTAAACAGTCAAAGTGCAAATAAGAAATCCATTTGGCTTGTAAATGCTGAGATGGTTTTAAACTTTCAATACTTTGTCCTCATAAATCAGCAGGGCTTTCACTGTCTCCATGCAGACGGCGCTCTGTTAGGTCCTCGGGTGGATCTGCAGTAAGAAAGTGCGAAAGAGTCCGTTATATAAAATATGTTATGGGAGGAAAGAAAGACCCAGGCTTCGTGGCACTTTGCCCTGCTTGTGATATAGCTGAGTTTCAGTTGCAATATTCTGGGGGGGGTGTGTGTGTGTTCTTTTCTCTTGGGGCTGCAGGGATTTAAGGATGTGCAGGACGCAGACCCTGCGCGACCTCCCGCCCGTGCCGTGGGAGGTGTGCATCTGTCACCTGGCTGGTGGCGGAGGAGGTGCCAGGACAGCTTTGGGCATGGGGCCATGCTCAGCCCAGCCTTCCACCCTGCCCTGCTCAGAGTGACGCTAGTAGCTTCTACCAGACAAGGACATGCAGATGGATCCATTTTTCAGGTTCATTTGGACCTCCACCAACCCACTTTTACCCAAAGAGGGGCAGGATAGGTTTGACTAGCTATAAAATAGACTGGAAAGTCTGACTGGCTTCATCTACTCACCTTGGGTGAGATAACATGGCCTGCAACAGACCGTAAAACCATCACTCTTGATGACTAACACCACAATTGATCTGAGTGAGCACACTAATAGCTTGAAGAGGAAACACCACCGCCCAGAGGTTTTTTTAGGATGCTGAAATAAGAACAACTGACCAGAAGCAAGAATAGCTCTCTTGAGGAGAGGTTTTTGTTTCTTTCCTGCACTGATACACACAAAGAAATGGCACAAGGCATTTGCTAGACGACTAGGTTAGCAATGGAACTCAAATAGACTTGAATATGAGCAGGCTCAGGCATTAAATAAGGGCTACAAATTATTAGCTAAGCACTCAGTGATATGATGAAATGCAGCAGTAAGTCTTGTAGCAAGAGATATTTACTATCTTCTGCTCTACTGCTTTGAACCGACCTCTTAATTACAGAGATTGTTATCACAAAAATAGAGGGGTTTCTTCACTGCACTAAAGAAAAGATTAATCTGGAAATTATCTGACATATTAATTTAGTTGGACAGCTTAAAAAAAAAGAAAATAAAACTCTCTACCATTTCCTTCCTTTCCCCAGTTCCCATTTTCTCCTCTCCTGGTTTGCCACTGACAAGTGACGCTACTGGGTTTTATCTCTTGGGGATGAATATATCCCTTCCTTGTGTGTACACTGCCTAAAAATTTCTGTGGTTGATGTAGGAGCAAGGAATGACAAGGGGCCACAGTTCCAAGGGGCCATGGGCACCTCAGGTTCTATTTACTGCAGCATGAGATGAGCAGTGGCTGCTAAGAAATGTGATGCTCAGGTCCCTCGGGGCACCGTAAAATGGCCTGCATTTCCCTGGTGGAAAAATGTATGGTAAACCAAGTATTACTCTGTAAACTGGGGGATGGGTGGGCTGTAATGGAGGGCTCAGGCTGCGAAGCTGGAGAGATGCTCCAAGCTGAGCCTCTCTGCCAGTCCTCAAGTGCTCAACGCTTTTATTTCCATCCTTCACAGTATCAGCAGAAAAAGAGCTTGTTGCAGTATATTGAGGGCTAGTACATGAATGCCAGGTGTTATTAGTGAGGATTACACAAAAAAGGGTATTTTGGAGTGCAGTGTGCACATGAGCCCTGGCAGAAAGCAAAGCTGTGCACAGAAAGTGGTATGTAGAGATCAATCCAATATCAAGAGCATGTGAGTGGCTCCCTCACTCAGGTGGGAAGTGACAAAACATTGAGGGACACGAAGAGCCATGTTTTCATGGTTTTCAGCAGCTCTGGCTCCTACAGGCTTTTATGGGCCCTTGTGGGCACCATGTCCCAGCATCCAGACTGAGACAGTGCTCTTGCATTTCCCCTGGTGCCGCTTGCTCTGCTGAAACACCGTGGTGTGAGCTCCAGCCGGGTCCTAGTACAGCTCCAAGAGCCACACATTTGTAAGGAAAGCATTGAAACTTATGTTCTTCAAGAAAAAAAAAAAAAAAGAAAAAAAGAAAAAAAGAAAAAAAAAAGGGAGTGAATAGGGATTTAAAAAATCACTGAAATGGCTCCAAAAATTGAATCACAAAATGATTTCTTTCCAGTGTTTGTCACTTGCTCTGACCATCAATAGCAAACAAATCGATTTAGAGAGGCTGTGAGCTTTATATCTTTGGCTTTAACAACTTAATTAGCGAGCTATGCTAAAGGACTAAACACAGGAATAAAATGCATGAAAAGGAAGGAATGGAGCAAAGCCTTCACTGGATCTGTTGTCCACCTTCTTCTGCCACTAATTAGTGTTAATCACATCTGAGAACCAACCATGAAATAACACACTACACTGTAAAATTAAATCTATTGTGTATATACATGTATGTGTATATATATATATATATATATATATATATACACACACACATATGCTTATAGGGCCTTGAAGAATACTAACAGGTATTTTAATCCTGGGAAACATAGATGCAAATGTTTTCCTCGTCAGGATAGCAGCTGCCTAACGTAAATGTATTTAGTGTAAGGAAAAGCCTTCATTAAAACAGTTTACAGCCTGTGGTGACTTGCTCTACCTTTTTGGCGAATCACCACAGATATATTTAGGAAGTTGACTGATTTGTCTTGTTTCTTCTGCTTTCTTAACATGGTTAACTACAGAAATTAGACACACATGGCCCAATTTTGCAGCCTGGACTGGGGTCAATACAGATTATAGTGTTAACATCTTTCTCTGATGCCATCTGAAATGACAAAACAAAGGAAAAGAAAATTCCTGTTTCAGAATCTGATTACTTCTGTTGTTTTTTATTTATGTTGCTAGACTTGACACGCAGTACAGATTCAAGCAAAGTTTCGGCGATTACGAAGTATAATTTTTGCTTAGAAAATGCAAGGAACAGTTGCTAAACAGATCATGTCATGTTGCCTTTGTCAATTGGGTTCGGTAATGATATTTTAAAGCAACAAAGCAAAATACTACTGGAAGCAGCACCATAAGGTACTTCCCTCACAAGCTAATTAAAATAACTCCTGTGGGTGAATGAAGAAATATTTTTTCAGTTATGAGCACTCACTCTGTAAGTATTTAATTTAAATGAAATACAATAATGCATACTGAATAGATTGGACCATACATCTGCATATTAATGAGGCTGCTAAATTTCTAGCAATCACTTCTAGATGCGGGCTATCACCTAAAACTAGTTTACATGTTGACAGTTGAGGGAGTTAAGAGCAGGACGATTTCACAGAATAAAGTAAATGCAATTCCTAAATCATATAATTTGCAGACAGATTGCACAAGTATTGAATTACTGTAATTTAACAAAAGTATAACAAACTTCATGTTGCTTATTGCTTCTTTAATATCACTTCCTTCCATTTTAATTCCCCAATTCAGTGGGAAAAATGTTGCCTCACTGGAAAGGACATGTAGGGAGTTTGTGGTGGTTTTGGTTTTGTTTGTTTGTTTGTTTTTAATTGCACTGCAAAGCACATACGTTAGGGCACAACCTTCCAGTGATTTTTTCAGATCTCAGAAGAGATCAGTTTGCAGAAATAATGCCACTGCAGGAATAAATTGAGTCAGGGAATCACAGTTCCTCCAGTGCTTTCTCCTTTGGTCTGGGAGATGACAAAGAGATAATAGGCTTTCTGTTTTCAGGGGCCACTTACTGCCTTCTGCAAAGAAAACCTCCTAAATTAGTGCTTATCCTAGTAATTTAATGTGGTGGTGAGATTAGCCATGCCAGAAGGCATCGTTCAGGAAACTCGGGTTGTAATACAAATCATTCATCCTGGGGTAAATCATACGGAGGGAACGAAAAGTATTCAGACGGCATGGAGATCACCTGGGGTAAAATCTCCTTCAACAAAAAGGCCTAGAAGACATGAAAAACGGCTAGAGTTAGGACTGTAGAAAAATAAATAAGTCAGGAAATCATGACACATTCCTGTGAATTAGTAGCTGGGTATAAGTACATAGAAACTCTTAACGAACAGGGAAAAAAATTCTTGAAAATTTGCTTTTTTTATCTAGCAGGTTTCAAAAGTTATTTTCCACTTCACTGAAAACTATCATTTATTCATTCATAAAAGTATTTTGAGTTGGCAACCATGTAATTTTTGTGGAAAAAAAATGAATCGTGGTATGATGACAATTTAATTAAAATTGCTGAATACAGGTATAGGTAGCAGTTTTTAGAAAATGGTTGTGAAACGATTGCACAACGCAAAAGAAAAACTAGAATCTTTTTGAAAAAAACTTTTTTTTTTTTTTTCCCCAAAGGCAATCTCGTAGTGGGAGAAGTTTAGCCGGCTCATTCACACTCTCTCTCTTTGCAGCTATATCTCAGCATTTTCCTAGTGAGACGGTGAAAGTTGTCATCACCTGTTGGCCCGCGTTACCTGAATCCTCAGCATCTCAAGAGTAGGTCACTAAAGGATGCATGGGGCTCGAGCTGCTCTCAAGTTACACTTGAAATGCAGATAGCGAGTTGAGTCTTCCACACAGTTTCATGCTACAAAGCACCTGTACAGCTGCTAATACCGATGTGGCCTGGAACAGCCAAGGAATGAATGCAGGATCCAGCAGATCCTTTTGGTC